CCCCCCCCCCCCCCCATTGTACCTGGTGTGATTTGATGTAAGAGATACCCATGCTTATCCACCACTGACTTGTTAGAAATGCAGCCATTGTGCCCACTTCTCAAGAAAACCCATGGCTAATACTGCCAGGTTAGTGAGAAAACACCATCTAAGCCTGAATGGATTTTGATGATGTTTTCCGGCTGCAGTTAAACCTCACTTTCTTTTTCATCAGGTGAAGGCGTAGCTGGGAGCGTGAGTTGTTAAGTCCCCAGAATTACATCACATGGAGGTCAAAGGGCAGCTGATCACATCCATGGGTGTGGGGGCTCCTGGTGAGTCATGATGTGTCACAGTGTAAAGTCGCACACTTTCTTGTCTGGACTAGCCTGAAATGACCTGGTAAATCTTGTCAGCTTGTGTTTTTTCTGTCAGTTTGGCAGAAGAGAAACAAGTGTTTTTCCCAAGGGAACAGCCAGCTGACAAAACAGCCATATGTGTGAAGGCCTTTTGTTCACATGCTGTCACTGCAGCTGTCAGATAATCTTATCAGAGCTCTGAGTTACTGAGAACAAACATCATCTTGTTAGAAACAGTATGAAACAGTAGAAACATTACCAAAAGATTGCATTTTACATTGAATGTGCCTGTTTTATATAGTAAACTTTCACATCTCACATGTGCACTACAAAACATCATGGCCCCTTCCTGACAGCAAGAATAAGAGCTCCTTTGTTTTGGTGTTTGGATAAACATCATAACATAATAAAGGAAAACAATATGTGCAAATGCTTAGCAAGGTAATAGATAGGACATATCCAGGTCAATTACAGCTGCATGCAGACTGTAGTCTGTAAGGACCCTCACTTACTGGGGCAGAAATTTATGTCACGTGGACCCATACAGACCCTTGTGGACATGTGAATGCAGACACCATGAATTGGCCTTTAGTCTGTCTCTAAGTCCCCGGCCTTGTTGGTGGCTCTCAGTGCCAAGCCCAGTCTTTCTTATGGAAGGCACGAGACAATAATTTTCTAAAATAGCCAGAAACTAGTTTTTTTGTGAATTTTACTCATATACAAGTAAAGTGTGCTTTTGCTGAGGGTTGTCTTTAGCTGTAGATGAATACACTTTTTGTGCGGTATTGACAGTGTTTGTGGGACTCAAAATAAAAGATAGACCCTGTCTGCAAGGTAATGAGACAACATGTCACCTAGTCTAACAGTGCGCCTCCCTGATTTGTTTTTCATAGGTTTTAGACAACAATAAGATATATCTAACTTCAGATACACACAATACTTGCTGTAGCTTCAGCTCATTGTTAGTTTGGGTAGAATGTGGAAACCAAGCCTGAAGGGACCCGTCGATACCTGAGGGTTCGGGCCGGATTGAGACAGAAATTTAGAAATTATGTTCGGGTCCGGGCCAGGTTTGGACACGTAGGCCAAACTTCAGGCTAGATGGCTGGAGCACACAAATGTCTGCTTTGTTTTTAATGATAAGGGGGAAAACGCTGTACAAACTCAACCGCATTGGGTTTGGATGCCACACTCTCAGGCATGGGTCAGGTTTGGACAAATATGCAGCCCGATCCATGCTCTAGGCCAATACCTTGTCCTTTCATTAAGACTTGAATTCAGACTTTCTGGGACTGGATCCTATGTTCTGTGTGGTACAGATGTTCAAGGCAGCCAGGACAGCAAGCTGCAGGCTGAGAGGATTGCAGCTCTGCAAGAGAGGAAGCAGGCCCTGGAGGCTCTTCTTAACAGCAGAGTGGGAGAGCTCAAACAAGTCTGTTTGCAGGAAGCAGTGAGTAGCTCTCATTTTACATTTGAAGCATACCCAGTTCAGTCTGCAACATGAACACTCCATAAGCTGTAGTTTCTTCATGTTTTCATTTATATTCTGTTACTAATGGAGAGATTGTGTTAAATATATTTTTACACTTTGTAAAAACAAACAAAAACTAAAGACAACCTCTAACCTTGTGCATATTGATATCTTTATGACTGCTCCACATCTTAATGAAGCCACAGCTGCCTCAGATTTTCATTAACACCTGTTGAACACATCACTGTATTTTCAGCTGTAGTATATCGACCCACGTCATCACTGCATGCCTGTTCTTGGATTCACATGTTGTCTGTTGGGTTGTGAGTGCAGCTAATTTTAGATGTACATTTTCAGAGCAACATTATTTCTTGTATGTCATTTAAAGGTGGTTTATTGTGACTCAAAGTAATATGTTAAGTAGTATCATTTTATTTTTGGAGTTCAAGATTCAAGGTTCCTTGTCATTCTACACGTTTGACAGAACAAAATGAGTCACTCAGGGCCAGCATATATTAAAACCATATATTAAAAGCATATAAGATAATATTATGACAATAAAGAATACCCTCTAAAGATAAAACCTAATGTAACAACAGCATTTAAAACAATGGGTATCATATCTAAAATGTATCAGTCCATCACAGAGGCCTAGAGTTCATAATTCTCACAGCTTCTGGTAGAAAATTGGATTTGAGCCTGGTGGTCCTGGCCTTGATGCTCCGAGAAGGATTTTAGTACCATGTAGGCTAATGAATGTCCTCTACAGGAGCTGACTGGGAAGTTACCACGTGCTTTTCCCCTGGACACAGGAGAGAAACCCCCAGTGGTGCAGCGTAGAGCTGGCTTGGCTCCTCTCACCAAAGCAGAGGTAAGTCAACATCTTGAATATCAATTGCTTTCGCGCAGCAGCTGTATCACTGTATATATTTGTTGTCTAACATGGCCGGCTATCCCTGGCTGCAGGATGAAGCTGCACAAAAAAAGCAGATGAAAGCCATCTTCACTGGTGCTCTATACAGACACTCAGAGTCAGACAGAAATGTCCCAAATAGCAAGAGGACAGTTCATCGGGGGTGTCACACAGGTATGATTCCACCGCACCTAAAAGCAGACCTACTGCGACTACACACCCACCTGTTTAAAAAAATGAACAGATTTGGCATAAGGGAATAAAAACCAAAGCACATATCCATTAGCATTTGAAGCTTTTTAAAAACACATCCAGCTGTATGAAAGATCTCAGATGTCATGCTGCATTGTCTCTAATCTGAATGCTTGTTGTCTTTCAGAGGACACTGTCGTGTCAGAGAGTACCAGCTCCATGTCAGATTCAACATCCCATGACAATGGTGAGTCAAGCGTATACAAACTGTCTTTCAGGAGCCCGCTCTGCCTCTTGTGTGCACTGTGAATCCATATTCATAATGAGCTTAGCTGAAAGACGAGGCACTAGCACTAGCTGAATGTATTTGCCAGCATGTTTCTTTTCACATTCAAAATACATCACTCACACTTAGTGGGTGGGAGAATCATTTGCACTCCCGGTGTTAAGACACCGAATAAGAATATCCCATTAATGTAGTAAATAGCACACTTGGCTTGTGCTTTTGATGAAAGTGATCTGTTCTTTGGCATCAGTGCGTGGGTTTTATTTAAAGATCTTTTGTGCGTTGTTCTTCTCCCAAAAGAGTCTTCTCCCAGCGTGGCTGCCGACCAGCGTTCTCTGTCTCAGCCTCGAGATTTACTATGAGATGAGGACGCGTCGCAACTCAGTCACAAGCTCCGTCAGGTACCAATGTTAATGTGACTTGTTGCTACGTGCTTGATCCGTCTGAGCACGTGCATACAGTTCACGTGTGCACATGTAATCAAGAATGTTTTCATGTATGGGTGATAAATCGTAAATTCCTGGATGTCCTCTCATGCTGCTTTTCACAGCCCAACTCACTCTTTACCAAGAAGTGCATCTAATGTTGAAGGTAGAAGTGTTCCAGCGACTCCTCTCTTGGCCCGTACCGCTCCAATCAGCGTTCATGTCAGGTAATCTGTGATACTGGTCTGTTGTGCACAGCTACAGCTCCCTCCCACTGTGACAGCTGTGTGGTTGGAAATGACTTAATGACACCGTTGAATGCAGACACAGAGTCAGGGTTGTTGCAATGATTAGTGTCATATTTAGGTAACAGCAAGGGCTTGAGCTCATCATCTGGTCTTTAAGCATAAAAACTGTGTCGCTTCTCAAGTGATTCTCTATGAAATGTAGTTACACGGTTTTATTGAAATGGCTTTCACTCACTCTTTGTACATAGTCCTCAGAGTCCTCTCCTATTATATAAGCTGTTGTGCTTTCATCTCTGCCTTAGGTCGGATGTGTCAGGTGGTAATGGGTTGAAGCAGTGGTCTGGCAGTCTGGATGTGCCATACATGATTCCGCTGGCTCAGGAGGGCTCCTCCTCTGACCGCAGAGGCTGCCCGTACAGCTCCCGGGCCAGGCGCAGTAACAGCTCAGAGGCCCTGCTGGATAGATCAAGCCTCCCTGATGATCCGCCTCCCAGAAATGGGATGCCCCCCAGAGGGGGGCCCTACAAGAGCTCTGAGACACTGACTGATGGAAAACTGAGACATATTCACCTAGGTAGCCCTGAAAGAGATGTGAATGGCTCTGTTGAACAGGCCAAAATGCGTCTGTCCGTGGGTGGCAAAGGGGCTGGTGGAGGCTACAATGAGATATTAATGGACTATATCTGGGGGAAACAACAGAGGATGCAGGTGCAGCACCACCTGTTCCAGTCCACAGGCAGGATCTGGCAGGACATGTCTTCTCCTCGCTGCTCCACAGCAGCAGTCCCTCCTCATGCCAATGGCTTTTCTCATTCCCAGGTGCACCTCCCCAGTGCTGCACCTCCTTACAGCCCCCTGGTCCTCCGAGGGTCCCAAGCTGAGCTGCGTAGGGTCAAGGTTACCAGAACCAAATCTTGTGGGCCCTTTATTCCTTTGCAACAATATCCACAAGATACAATTCTTCTATCAGCGTATGAGTCTCCCCTTCCTGTCTCTGGCACCACCACATCCTCCATCCCCAACCTGCACCCCTACCAGACTGAGCTGTCTGGTCCCTCCTTCAGCCGCAGACCCCCACAGTTCTCTCTCCCGACTCCAGAAGACTCAACCAGAAGTCTGCATAAAGCCCTGGCTCTGGAGGGACTGAGGGACTGGTACCTGAGGAATGCCCTCGGCTATCCTCCTGCTGCCTCAAAAGGCCACGAGGCAGGGCTCTCTCGCCTCTCACACCCCCACCCGCTGGTGCACCAGGCCCAGTCTTTTCACGGTGAAGCAGCCAACCTCCACAGGCCTCAGATTCCCCAGTCAGCCAGCTTCCATGGTCACCCACTGCATGGAAGGTCAGTACTTCAGTTTTTTCTTTTTATCTTAGTGATTTGTCTCTGTCTCCTTGTGGTAGAAATCATACATACATTCATACAAGAAAAGGACCAGTGCCTTTCATTATTGTACATTTATTTGTGCTGTTCAATTACATTTCACTCACAGCAGAAAAAAAGTTGTTACTGTCACTGTCAGAGATGTGACCTTTCTCAGATTTCAGTGGGCATTTTATATGTTTTTAAGGACTATGTCAGGATACCTTTTACAAATATCATCATACATGTTTGCAAATACAGTCATATGCATATTTTCTATGTCATGAACAGTGGTGCCTACAGAACATATTTAGTGGGGGCCATAATGAGGCCAGTGAAAACCTTGGGATGGCACACTAAAAAGGCTGTACAGCATAGATGAATTTCAGGCTACGCAAGTTAATAGAAAGGTAAAGATACTACAATATAGTGTAAAATAAATAACTTTTACTAAATGGCATATGCTTTAATTCTTTGGTTGATCTCATGTGAATAGCAAATGATGGTAATCGCATGAAATCAGTCATGGAATCATTAATTAATTCAAATCTGAATGTATCATCAACAGTAAAATAAAGTGTGCGGGTTGCTTAAACATAATTATTAACAATTATCTGGTAATGAATTATGGATGCAAGAATGTCTGACCTAAATTTCTAACGCAATTACAAAACACGGCAGATTTCATACTGAACTTCCTCTTAGCTTTTATAAGTTCAGTGATTTATATAATTTAATAACAGCCAACATCTCATTCCATTTCACTATGTTTGTCTAGAAACATCTACAAACATTATTTATATTCTTGAGAATGCTCCCTGCAAAAATCAACTCAGATGTGTTATGTCTTAAATCTATGTAAGATTTTTAATGGCCTGCATTGCAAAGAATTAGACTGACTGGGGCTTGTCATTGGTGGGGGTGTTAGAAATTTTAAGATGGAGGCCATGACCCCCAGTGTTCTCACTGTGGTTTTACCCATCTTGCTTGTGGAGAGCTGTACTGAACTGTCCTGCCTCCCCAACAGGTCAATGGAGTTGTCTCTCTATCAGGAGACTCCTCATCTGCAGATGCAAGAGGTGACCCCAAAGGAACCCAGTGCAGATCCAGGCACTCTAGTCTGAAGCAGCACCACACACACACACATTATATGAGCAAGAATACTGTACACGTACACTCAGACTCACATAGTCACACACTTATACAGACCAATTTTTACAGTGTAACCTCAACAGCAAAGCAAAACAAAGTGACCTCAGCAGCAAGAGACTGAAATAACTGATAAACTGTAACTGTACAGTGTGAAAAAGCCTTGGCAAGTTCCCTGTGTTATATAAGTGATCCCACCAATATGAACTTCACACCCACTGTTCTTGTGTGGAAGTACACTGGAGCTGACTTATTGATTATCTATCAGTAATATGATTATGCTGTACTTCACATATCCATATTTCTGGTCCAACACGAGCAGTAAAATCCTTTCCAATAGCCCTGAAAATCTTCCCAGATATACTTTTTTTTACAGAATATATACAACTCTAAATCACTATTTTGTATCTTCTGAGATGTAAAGAACGGTTATATTAAAGAGGTAATATATTGCTCATGAATCATGTAATAAACAAAGATGTTATATGAGTTCACATCATTTTAAAGTATTAATACATGCACTGGTGAATGTGTGTTTGTAGACTATTTAAAAACATGCTCCTCATCTGCCATGAATTTTACAGCCATTTGTATTTTCCATGTTTGATAAATGAAACGGGCCATGAACTGTAGCATACTGGTGTAGCGAACAGGAGTGCCTAAATGTTTTATTATCAGAACTACACCTTGGTTAGACAACTTTAAAGTGCTTTCTAATCATCTGAAAAGCTAGCATTAAGCCTCTGTGAGCGTGGTCAAGTGAAAGACAAAGCCGTTCATGATGTCATTAGATTACGCTATTTGGAATGATGTCATATACAGTACATTGTGATTTTTGGGGGAGCTGGTTTCTAGCTTCAGTTTGCCACTGGCTAATAAGTGTAGCATTCTCTGTGCTGTCCTTGACAGAATAATTAGACCAGTTTAGGAAAAAAAAACCCTTAGTACTCTGTGAGACCTACTGTATGGGAGTAGCACATGACTGTATGACAGACTGCTGACTCATCAAATCAGTTGTTTTCTGCATTTAGTTGTGGAGGGTTCGAAAGTCATACAGAGCAGCACTTTATGAACATCTTATGCCTTAATTCTTTATGAAATTGTCACCATGAAAGATGACAGGACATGGTTTATAATGGGGCAAAATCAAGGAAAGTGAGTTTTGTTCACTTGTGCTGAAGGTCTGTCTGAGTGTTAGTGTGTGTATATACGTAGTGTGGATTGTGCTGATGAGATTTTGAGGGTGATATTTTATTTCCAGCTGATATTTTATTCCCATACTAACAATGTTATTAACAATGTAACAGAGTAACCCTATAATTAGAAGTTGATCAGAGTAACCTCCCCCATTTCTTCCACCACCAAGTGAGCACTGTTTAATTGGTTGTAAAGAGTTGATGGTGTGAACAGAATAGGGCTGCTGCAGCACGGAATGATGGTGAGAGCAGGTCTCACACCAGTAAATCTGTTTGAGAATTCATGCTGGCTTTGTATTTGTAATAATTTCAACTCATTTTTTGCCTTTACACTTTTGTATCTCAGTAATTATGTGTCATAAGTTTTTGTAATCAGTCTTAGTAGAATTCTGCAGTGTAAGCTTCAGAATAATAAATAAAATCCTCAAGGAAACTGAAAATATTTGTTTAGGTGTAAACAGAAATTACATTTTTTTTTTAATTAAAGGTTTTTTCCCATTTAATGTACTTGATCTTTGGCCATGTTTGAACTAATTTGTACTTTGTGTGTCATAAGTGATCGTTTCCTACGCCGTTACAAACTGTAGCATATTGTGGATTGTTAGCCGGTTTCTTCTGTTGTTCTTCTGATGTGTTCACATCCTCTCAGTATCCAGCTTCATAGAGATTCTTCCATCTGGTTAAAACCTGAAATCAAAGACCAAACTGCTGTGCACTGGGGGTCATAAATGTATTTTTCATATAATGTACTCTGTAAGTTGAAAGTAAATGATTTAAATTTAGCTCTAAAGCAAATTTACTCAAACTATATTATATTTATGAACCTGTAACATTTTGTAGCTATCTATAGTAGCTCTTTCTCATCAGCGCAGGATTTGGTAATGTGTGTTATTAAAACAATTTAATTCAGCAGTGTGATGTGTTAATAATTGATTATTAAGACTTCTTCTTTTAGATATCTAAGTGCAGCTGTTTTCTCTTTCACTCTTCTCTTTATAAAAAGGCCTGTGAAATTAAAGCTAAAGAGGCCTGAGCTACACTGTATGTATGAGACTGCATTCATTCTACTAAATAAAGTGTGACATTGAAATCAGCACTAGACTGTGTCAGACATGTTTGTTTTTGGTAAGACAACAGACCTTTTTCACAGCAGACATTTCGACTTGTCAAAGCAGGAACAGCACAGGTGTAATTAACACTGATATCAATGGCTCTGTTCCATTAAAGTTTACCAGCCAGTCATGTCAGTGAGCCAGCGTACACGACGGACGGACCCTAAAAGTAAGGTAGTAAAACCGGGCGTAGCACTTAATATTATAAATCACACCTGTGGTTTTCCTGCCACAAATAATTAAAATGTCTGCCACAACATCCCTGCTTTGAGTCCAGACAAAGACCTCAGTGACATTTTTTACTTTCTATCATATCATCTACTGCAATATAGTTGACTGGGTTTGATGTGTTCAGAAGGTATTTGACTTGAATAAAAGTGTGCAAATAGGCCTTAAAAAGTATTTAATGTAGGCTAGCTTGAGGAAGGAACTGGACACCAAAACCACCTTTTCTGCACTCTCCCAAGGATGGGGAATCCGCTCATTTATTAAAAAACACACACACAGGCAACAACAACAACATAAGGGACACTGGCAACCACACAAATCCCAGGAACACTGAACTTATATACATCCTGCCCAGTCTAGCATTATGGGGGTCCCAGCAGGTGCTTCCCCCCTACGGTATTCTGGGTGACCCCGCCATGTGTCTCTTCTCCTCTAATGCTACACAACCCTCACCTGACTGGTTAACTGTCATCAGTAACCACAGTCTTATCAAAGTCTCTTACATGTTGGGGGCGGCCTGCACTGCTGCTGAGTCCGCTCTGGTGGCACCTGGGAAGCAGGTGAAGAGGGGCTGGAGCTCGTGGCTGGCTTCTGTTGTCCAACTCTACCCCCTCAGGTGAGGCCAAGGGCCAGTATGGTGCAAGTCTGTTCCTGCAAAGCACCACCCAGTTCCACTTACTCAGTCCTACCAGATACACCACATCTAACAGTCTTTTAAGCACAGTACAAGGTCTGACCCCCTGGATTGCTGACTATGGAAACAAGGCCTTTTTTCATCCAGGGCTGCATGCCCACACCAGTGCACCAGGGGCAAAGTTCTCTCACCTGCTGAGAGCATCATGACCCCATGTCTGGTGAGGCCCCGCGTCCATTGGGGCCCCCACCTGGTCCTGCTGCAGAGGAGTGTGTTGGGCTACTGTCTGTCATCAGGCATGGTCCCGGTCCTCCTGCAGTTCCTCTCCTATGAGCCATCGTCGGCTCATATGATCTTGGTGCACACCACCAGAGAAAGTGGTATAGGTGTGGATGAGCCCCTGCCTGGCTCTAGTGATGTGTATGACCTTCCGGCCAGCCACTCCAGCATCGCAGTTGGTTGTAGCCTGCAGCGTGGAGAGTCATGGCATCTGCACCCAGACAGAGCGTAGGCACATCCAGTGCAGTGGGGATGCTGCCTGTCATGTGGCAGTGTCCCGGTCCTCCATGCACCGACTGTGCCGGCACTTCTTCCTTCTGTAACTTCTTCCTCTTGTATGAACCCTCGCCTGGTCTCGGTGCACACTACCCGAGAAAATGGTGTATGTGTGGATGTGTCCCTGGCTGTCCCTAGTGGTGTAGATGACCCTCAAGGCAGCATCTTCAATGTCACAGTTAGGTGCAGCCCTTCCCTACCAGCAGTGTGCAGAGCCACAGCATCTGCACCCAGGCAGAGTGTAGTCCCAGGCACATCCACCATGGCTCTCAACTTTGTCAGCAGGCCAAGGCTGATGATGCATGGATCTTGAATGTTGGCCAGCCTGAACAAGTGCTCAACGGTGTGGCCAGCAGCAGCTATTTTGAGCGTCCTCTCTACCGCATCTTCACACTCTCGCCGGTCCAGGTATAATCTGTGTATCCGGCCTAGGTGGCCAACCCTTGGCTGTGACAGGATGCGCATACACTAGATGAGCTGTCTGGGGGTCCTGGGCTCTGTGGTGTCAGTGCTGGGCAGTGGCGAGCAATGTGGCCCAGCTCTCCACAAAGGTAGCACCCTGTGTCACCCAGCTGCTCTCCTGCTTAATTGTAGTGGCCGTGCTGCAGTGGCAACCTGGCAGGCTGCCTCCTTGTCCTTTCTGGCTCCCTCAAGTTCTGCTTGCCGCATTCAGTGTTTTGGATGCAGGGGGCACAGCATGTGCTCAACCTGCTTTGCTTCAGCCATCAGAGTGGTGCCGTGCAGTGATAGAGGTGAGCTCCTCAAGCATCAAGCTGTCAGTCATTGCATACCCATGCCGAGCATAGAGCTGGATGTCTGTGCTGTAGGCACCCAGGCCCTCTCCTTCCCTGCATCGCCGATTAGCCAGCCCAGCCCAGGCTTCATCAGCATAAATGTGTCAACCAAACCTGAGCTATAGCGCCCTCTCTGTGCCTGGCCAGCTGCTTTGCTACCCAGGCTAGAGGTCAGGGTCTGCAGAGCCCTGCCCCCGAGGGCGAGGGTAACCCAGTTGGCTGTCTCCACAGTTGATCAGCCGTTCACCCACGCTGCTGTCTGCATTTGCATGAGGTATGTCCCTAGAGGCTCTTTTTAACTACAGCCGGTTCTTTTATCTGAAGGCCCCAAGAAGTAACACTCAGGAAACAGGAATCAGCTTTACGTAGATTTATTTTCTTCTGGTTAAATGCAGAGTTATTACAGCGCTGGGCTCTATGAGCTGACAAGTCTCCAAGAGCCTCGATAATCAAAAATCATTCACATTTATCTTCTCGGGCTGGGACTGCCCTGTACATGGGTGGTACGTTACACGTCAATATTCTAGAATGTTCATATAGGCAGTATGTGTGTGTGTGTGTGTGTTGTTATCTTCTATTTTCAGGTGTTTCTCTCTAACTGGAAGTGGACATGCAGTTAGCTGTGTCACTTTACTTCCCTGATTCTGTTGTAAAAAACCTCTTACTCATGCTTCAGACATGAGTGACCAGTTCAAGCCCGTCAGACTTCACGTCTGTTAAGTAGCATAAATTAACAGTATCTTATCTATAGTTTCCAGAACGACACTTATCTATGCAATCTATTCTTGCACAATTTTCCAAGAAGATGAAAAATACTACAAGTTGACTCGAAGCTGAATATTATAACTATAATGCATGCATAAGAGCCAGGTTAATACTGATACATGGTGCTGTTAATGAAACACAGACAGTCATACTAAACTCTATCATTATAAAAGCAAAATAATACTAACCGTAAATAAAACAACTGTAACTCCTGAAATCCTAACACTCTTCCCCGCTGTAGTGTGGTAGCTGAGCTACACCTTGCCGGTTTGCTCCTGGCTCCTTGCTGTGGTCTGGTCAGTACCTGTGGTGCTGACACTCCGGTGCAGCTCCTCCATCCTGCCTGGTGAGCCTCGCTGGCTTCCTCAGCAGTCTCGTTTCGGTGGGTTCTCGCTGAGAGTGGAATGGCAGGCAATCTCAACAAGGCTACTGGGATATCCGGTTTGTAGCATCACTCCTTCCTTCAGCTGGGCAATAAGTTCATTGACCTCCTGGAGGATGTCATCGCCTCTGGAGATCCCACTTCTGACATCAATGTAACATTGGCTGTGTTAAGAAGGGTCGGGAGACTGAAGCTTGTGTTTTTCTCTGTTTTATTCACACACACAACCACACAGCACACCTAACACAACACTGCTACAACAATCTCGCCAACCCCAAACTATACAGAGCCCACCCAGAGGGGCATTATGGGGGATTCCACCAGGTGCTTCTTCCCTGGGCATTCTGGGGGACGCCACAAAGTGTCTCTCCACCCCCAGCGCTACAGTATGTGGGATAAACTATAGATTTCTTAAGAAATCAGTGTAGTTCTTGAGAAAGGAAATGTGTTCCAAATGTGTTTGTGTATTATAACTCCGCTACATTTGCTTAAAGGCTGTTGTTTACATTTATTGTGCAACCCATTTTTATGTGGTGGAGTTGGGGGAAGGGGCGCTGTTTTCATGATCTCTTCTGAGGAGAGGCTCATCTGCCCACACTGTGACAATCCCTGGCGTATATCAAACTGTGGGGGGAAACCAATAAAGATGAAACTACTGACTATATATGGCTGAAACATCGGGGCTCTGGCACACACATGCGCAACACATTTATGCCTCTGCTTGTTGCAGTGCACTCGACTGAGCATTCTCCTCTCCTCCCTCCCACTCACTGACCGGAATAGAAACCGAGTTACTTAGTCCGGCAAGACTTCAGGTTCTGTTTTCTGTTGTAAAAATCGTTAGATCTGTCGCTAAAGGGGTCTTAAAAGTCGCCAAATCTGCGGAGAGGAGCTAAACTCTTGGGCTGAGGGACTGAGTTCACGCCAAGCTGGAGTTATTTCCCGCGTTACAAATATTGAGCCATCACTAACAGAGGTAAGTAGACACCTCACTGATGTTGTTATTACGAACGAATAGGGCGCAACAGGTTTTTGTAGGCCTACTACCAAGTCTCATCCTTAAGGTGACCAACATGTAGGCCTAGTGGATTTTTTTAAAATCCAGCACAAGAATAAACTACACTTCCTGCCACAACCTTCAAAATAAAACTAAGTTTGACTTGTACAGATGCAGGAGGAAAGGCAATAGAAGTCAATGAAGAAATGACATGTAGCCTATAGGAAGTATTTCAGAATACATTTTTTAAAGTAAGTGATACAAATATTAAATGACTTAACTATCAGGCAGTACACAAGAATGCAAAATGTTTATCGGGTCATAAGTAGGCTAATTGTAGACAAAGTCACCATAACAAGTGTCAAAGGAAAAACTAATCCTAACTAACCCATTTTACATATACATACTCAACAGTTAAAATCAACGCCATGGGTAGGCAAGCGTCCCAGGCATTCAAACAAATAAGTTAGCATTTAACCAATTCAGTGTCCAGCAGCATGTGTGTTGTTTAAATAGGCTATATTAATTTAATATGTGTCAGGAAATGCCAAGCTAAGCAAAAAAAGATTTGCTGGCAGTGTAAATCTGAGAATTTAATTTGAAGTACCTGTAATGTGACATCAGTGCTTCCTTTACATAAAACATACAACCACAGATAAATAAGCAGACCTTAGTTAGTGAGTACAGTGATGACTGTCTGAAGGACTATAGCTTTCTAATCATTTAATTATCTTTACAATATAATTGCTCTAGTCAGATAGAACATGAATTATTTTGAATTGCTGGCCGTTCATGTGTACAACTGAGGTACCCATATTGCAGCTATTCATGCAATACCAGGAAGAGTTTAGTTGCAGCTGGGCCAGTGTCAGGAGCTATTTACGTTAACATGCCATTCATCCAGCTAAAAATAAACATACACATTCACTGTTCCTTTAGAACAACCTCCTGCAATCGGTGACTGAGAGCACAAACGAGCTGTCAGGTGCCGCCAGTGATCTCTTGTGATATAGACATTATTCAAGACTTCCTTAAATTTTGAAAACTGTGCAAATGCTTCTTGTTGTAGCTTTCTACTTGAGCGCTGTTGCCTTCTGGGCCCATCTTCAGCTGTGAACTCTACTACATCAAGCTCCAGTCAGACATGTCATCAGCATATGTTGCTACTATAGCAGCCATGCTTTCATCTACCGCCTATAATCCACCCATCAATTACAGCCCTCGCCCCTCCCAAGACAAAACACGGCATCCTAAACGCCCCCCCCAACCCAACAAAGCTGTCCACTGCCCTCCGTCTATACAGACACACCCTCATTTACTAGAGCCTCTGGGATCTTATGAGGAGCAACAGGAGAATGCTGCAGACTATGGCATAGGTAGGTAGTGCCCCTGCACCAAACATCAACACACTGGTTCAGATCTTCTCTTTAATGCAGATGGTGCATTGCGTTGTGTGCAGGTGGTTATTACCCTGTGGAAATTGGAGAGATTTTTGTTGACCGTTACCAAGTTGTTAGGAAGCTGGGATGGGGTCACTTCTCTACTGTATGGCTCTGCTGGGATATGGTGTAAGTACAGGTTTGGCCTTCTGACTAAACCGAATAACATCATGCAGTGATGATATAATATAAACATGATAATAGGTAACTACTATAACTTTACATGCAGGAAGAGGCGTTTTGTGGCTCTGAAGGTGGTGAAGAGCGCTCAGATGTTCACAGAGACAGCACTGGATGAGATCAAACTCCTGAAATGTGTCAGTGTCATGGTCAGATTGTCTCCATCACTTTAAAACTTTCACTTTCTTTGTTGATGTTGAGATACAGTATGTTTAATATATGATCATCAGGTAAGGGACAGCGACCCCAAGGATCCCAAGCGTAAGAGAATCGTGCACCTCATCGATGACTTCAGCATCTCTGGAATGAATGGAGAGCGTATCCTTTACAGAGACATCTGATGTCCCGCTGTAATCCCCTACTCACACACAGACAGATGCTACTATAATGACATCCTGCCCCGCTCACCTTACACTGTAGTGGTTAGACACAGAGTACAGATCTCGTCAGTGTGTTTTAGCCTTCTCCAAATATTCAAGAAACTCTGAATACTCTAAGTTCTACCATATGAAATTGTGTCCTTAATTGGTCTGCAGATGTGTGCATGGTTCTGGAGGTGCTGGGCCACCAGCTGCTGAGGTGGATCATCAAGTCCAATTACACTGGGCTCCCTCTGCCATGCGTTAAGAGCATCATCAGACAGGTGCTATGCAGCACTTATTCCATGCTTGTCCTTCCCTTTCATCAGTAACTCAGGTCTTTTTGTGAAAAGATCTTCTATTTTTGCTATGACAGTGACTCAGTTAGGTTCATTATCACAGGTTCTGCAGGGTTTAGATTACTTGCACACTAAATGCAAGATTATTCACACGGACATCAAGCCAGAAAACATCCTCCTGAGAGTGGACGAGGTTTATATTGAGAAACTGGCGGCCAACACCAAGCTCTGGCAGCTGCCAGTGTCCTCCGCTGTCGCCAGCTCATCAGGTTTGTGATGCTGTGTAAATAATCACATACTGTATGTTTGATAATGATTCTCTATACAATGACTCGGATAATTTACAGATGAATATGTGTCATTTGTCACATATTCCTGTATTTTTCCACACATTTAACCTTTTCTCCTGCTGATGTCTTTTCTTTCTTCCAGTGAAGAGAAACTCCAGAGTAAAACGCGTGAGTAACCCCATGTTCATTTCTTGTATTAAGATGTTTGCATTCCTTTTACAGTCACATTATGATTGGCCTTTCTGCTATGATTTTTTAAGAGTTTGTTGGGGAGGCTGACTGGGGTGTTCCACACTCTTGGGGAGTGGGTAAGATGGATTGCATGCCAAACCTAAAAACATATTTGTGCCGTTAATATTGCAGCAGTTTCACCCCACTTCCTGCAGTGATGTGAGCAGCTAACTTGGTCACAAAGCTTTGATCTGTAAGCAAAAAGCACTAACTAACTTGTGGTACTAACAATGGTGAGTACAGATGTGAGACACTTTCAGATTTTCAGTTGCTGCACACAGCTGCTTTGATTTGCACTGTTTGCACTTCCAGCACAAGCATAAAGTTGTGACAATTCACTTTGTTTTTTACTCCTTGCTGACTTCTGATTATTTCCAACAACCAACTCCACCCACGCAGTCCAGCAAGGTCTCCGGGAGCTCAATTAAGAGACTGTCGAGGAAAGACAGGAGTCGACGAGGACAGGAGAGTGCATCTGACCACAAACAAAGAGACAATCCTCATGTGTCATTTTCTGATGTCACTCCTCCTTCTAGCAACCATAGTTCTACCTGTCACTGTAAGCTCACAGGCCCTCCCCTCACATTTAGAAGGCAGACTTTGCTGTTGGAGGACAGACTGGATTCTGCTCCACACAACCAGAGAGCCTCCATCTGCTCGTGTCCAGATCTCAGCAGAGATGCACCTGTTTCTGTTTCTAGATCAGTGTTGTTACATCAGGGTGCAGACAGAGAGCTGCTACCTTCACCATCCTCTCCCTGTGGTTAGTGTCACAGCATTTGTGTGTTGTTGTTTTTTTTTGTGTCTGTTCATTCCTATTTTTGTGAAAACTTTATATTGACAGTTTGGCAAGTGTCTTTAACTTGGTTATAGTATTCATGGCTGTCAAATTCTTTTATGTATTTTAGGCATCAGTGACTCAGATGCACTTCTGGACCTACTGAGGCCTCAGAATGCTGAGAAAATTCTCATCAAGATAGCTGACCTGGGCAATGCCTGTTGGGTGGTGAGTGATTTATTCAATAAGCAAAATAAACCTGAAAAACTAACTTTCTGTCTGAATAATGGGGTTAGACAAGGTGGGATATTATCACCGTTTCTCTTTAGCATGGATGATCTTTCAGTTGAATAGTTGTGGAACTTTATTAGCCACCTCATGTGACTTGGCGATTTTCAGTCCATGCAGTGCTGGTCTTCAACAGCTGTTGAGGACTCATTCACAATATGGGTTAGAGTTTGACATCAAATATAATGCTGAAGGAAGACAGGAAATTAGTATTCCTTGATTTCTTCCTGGCTGTTGTTGCCCTTAAGGAATGTAAGGACATAAAATATTTAGGTTATCACATAACTGACAATCTCTCGGATGATAAAGACATCTACAGACGGTGTAGAAAGTTATACGCACAAGCCAATATCTTGGCTTCAAAAGTTTGTATGTGCTCGATGACTGTGAGAATCTCCTTGTTGAGAGCTTATTGTACCCCCATGTATACTACCCATTTGCGGCACTGCTACAAAACAGCAGTATGCAGAAACTGTGACCTATAATGATAGTGTGAGGCTGCAGTGGTAGTCAGATGTCTGTTAGTGTTGGGATACCCACCTGGGTGGCTGTCTTTGGGAATCTCATATATATATATTTGTATGGGTAGGCTGTCTGAAGCCACTAATAGTATTATTTTAGGTATAACTAATGCAAAAATGAGTTCAGTTTGGATGTCATCTGAAGTGAGGGGGCATTGGAGTTCCTGCCTATATGCTGTTGCTAGATAAATAGGTTTGCACCTTTTTAATGCTATTTTATTGCTTTGCATGTTTCTTGTACTGTACAGTGGTGTGAAAAAGTATTTGCCCCCTTACTGATTTCTTATCTTTTTGCATGTTTGTCACACTGTAATGTTTCAGATCATCAAACAAATTTAAATATTAGTCAACGATAACACAAGTAAACACATCATGCAGTTTTTAAATGAAGGTTTTTATTATTAAGGGAAAACAAAATCCAAAACTACAAAGCCCTGTGTGAACAAGTGTTTGCCCCCCTGTCAAAACACTGGTTTATCGCACCTCAGTTCAATTTCTCTAGCCACACCCAGGCCTGATTACTGCCACACCTGTTCGCAATCAAGAAATCACTTAAATAGGACCTGCCTGACAAAGTGAAGTAGACCAAAAGATCATCAAAAGCTAGACATCATGCCGAGATCCAAAGAAATTCAAAAACAAATGAGAAAGAGAATAATGAAGCTCTATCAGTCCGGAAAAGGTTATAAAGCCATTTCTAAAGCTTTGGGACGGCAGCGAACCACAGTGAGAGCCATTATCCACAAATGGCGAAAACATGGAACAGTGGAGAACCTTCCCAGGAGTGGCCGGCCGACCAAAATTACCCCAAGAGCACAGCGACAACTCATCCAAGAGGTCACAAAAGACCCCACAACAACATCCAAAGAACTGCAGGCCTCACTTGCCTCAGTTAAGGTGAGTGTTCATGACTCCACCATAAGAAAGAGACTGGGCAAAAATGGTTTGCATGGCAGAGTTCCAAGACGAAAACCACTGCTGAGCAAAAAGAACATAAAGGCTCGTCTCAGTTTTGCCAGAAAACATCTTGATGATCCCCAAGACTTTTGGAATAATACTCTGTGGACAGACGAGACAAAAGTTGAACTTTTTGGAAGGTGTGTGTCCCATTATGTGTGGCGTAAAAGTAACACCGCATTTCAGAAAAAGAACATCATACCAACAGTAAAATATGGTGGTGGTAGTGTGATGGTCTGGGGCTGTTTTGCTGCTTCAGGCCCTGGAAGACTTGCTGTGATAAATGGAACCATGAATTCTGCTGTGTACCAAAATATCCTGAAGGAGAATGTCCGGCCATCCGTTTGTGACCTCAAGCTGAAGCGAACTTGGGTTCTGCAGCAGGACAATGATCCAAAGCACACCAGCAAGTCCACTTCTGAATGGCTGAAGAAAAACAAAATGAAGACTTTGGAGTGGCCTAGTCAAAGTCCTGACCTGAATCCAATTGAGATGCTGTGGCATGACCTTAAAAAGGCAGTTCATGCCCGAAAACCCTCCAATGTGGCTGACTTACAACAATTCTGCAAAGATGAGTGGGCCAATGGGTAGGCTGTCTGAAGCCACTAATAGTATTATTTTAGGTATAACTAATGCAAAAATGAGTTCAGTTTGGATGTCATCTGAAGTGAGGGGGCATTGGAGTTCCTGCCTATATGCTGTTGCTAGATAAATAGGTTTGCACCTTTTTAATGCTATTTTATTGCTTTGCATGTTTCTTGTACTGTATATATTATTATATTATATTTCTTACATCATTATTTTATGGACCCTAAACATGTCTGAAATAAAAGTTTGATTGATTGATTGATTGAACTAAATATAATAATTGAGATATTGCATGCAAGCACCATTTTTAATAGATAAGCTTATGCAAATATTGCACTTAAGAGTAAAAGTCTACAACTTCATGGAGAAAGTTAAATAGATTCTTGTTAATTTGCACTGAACTGAACAAGAATTAAGACTTTTCTATGTTACAGTAATAGTCATAGATGCAGATCAATTAATAATGGGACATTAAAATCTTATCTTTCTTGCTGTCAGCACAAACACTTCACTGAAGACATCCAGACATGTCAGTACCGCTCTGTGGAGGTCCTGATTGGTGCTGACTACGGCACACCAGCCGATATCTGGAGCACTGCCTGCCTGGTGAGACAGGCACCTGCAAAGCTGTGTGTCTCTCCATCCCTATATATGTTTCAGTCCAAATTGCCATTTCTGCATTTGTAATGATCATTTTTATTTTTGGTCCCTTGTGTATTCTGTAGGCTTTTGAGCTGGCCACAGGGGACTATCTGTTTGAGCCCCAACCAGGAGCCTCATTTTCCCGGGAAGAAGGTTTGTATTGTTCACTACATCCTTTTTTGTCCTTTGATTAAACTAAATGTGCTTATAATACAATATCTGTGTGTCCCTACAGATCACATTGCCCACATCATTGAGCTGCTGGGACCCCTTCCATCTCAGTTTGCCCTCTCGGGGAAAAACTCAAAGCGATACTTTAACCGTAAAGGTAAAGTATAAAGTAAATTATTCAAAATACAGTAATGCCTCGATAATGCTTCTTTGTCATTGTAATCTGACATGTAGGAGTGGATAATATGACTTAGCATTTTGGAGTTTGGATCAAACTGTTGTGCTTAACACAAGGTTTTATTTTATTATTAAGCTATGTACTATGTATTTGGCATTATATGAGACCCCTCACACTTGTTGATTGCTAGAGGAAATGTTTCATTCATCTGTTGCTGTGGTCAGATAGTTATGATCCATATCAGCAAAGTGGTGCATGAGTCTACTTCTTACCTTGGCCAGGGCAACTGCGGCACATCTCAAAGCTCAAGGCATGGAGCTTGTTTGAAGTCCTGCTGGATAAGTACGAGTGGCCCCAGGAGGAAGCCAGCCAATTCAGCTCATTTCTCCTGACCATGTTGGAACTGCTGCCAGAGAAAAGAGCCACAGCTGCCCAGTGTCTGAAACACCCCTGGATTGTCTCCTAAAGACAGTGGCTCGGTGTTGTTCAGGGCCCAGTGAAAAATCTCGCTTTTTGAGAGCAGATTCTGACACACTGGACACAACATAGGACTGAGAGATGGATGAGATGGATTTATTCAGACAGCACTGTTTCTCTCTCTCTCTCTTTCTCTATACCAACTTGAAGGATTACCCTGATGATTCTGTGAGGTGCCATTTAGGCCATAATCCATGGGTCCTGGACCGCTCACACACATATATACTCCCCCCGTAGGGTTGGGATTGTGTACATGAGTACACATGTACGTGTTGGCCATATCGTAATCGTTTAGGCAACAACTGACTCGGCTTTAGAAAAAAAAAGCCAGAGTTCCAGGGTTCATAAAAAGTGCCGCTGGTAGGAGTATATTTTATAGTTTTCTAGAACCACCAGCCGCCATGAGAAAAAAAAAAAGTTTCTTGTTATAACCAGAAGCCTTTCTCCTTATAACATGATACTTTTCTCTTTTTTTACGAGATATGTTCACCTTTAAAACATGACTTTTCTCATTATTACAACACACTGTACTTTCTCATAATAACGAGCCCTGCACAGCTTGGAGTGAGTGCAGCGCACACACTCACTTTAAGCAGTAGCTTTACCGTAGCTCATTCAGTTCAACAGCCTCTGGCTCATCAACACCCTCCCATACCAACTTTTCACACAGTGACCAGCAGTAGGTGTGCTCCTGTCCATGAACATCTCTGCTCTGACTGTTAAATCCACATACAATAATTAGCCCACCAAATAACACATGAATGCAGCTCATGAGCAAAAACTCATGTCCCGATGATAATACAGGCATTATTGGCAGCAGGTGACTTCATTGTGTGCACTGTTGTCACTCACTCCAAGCTGTTGCAGACTCACATTAGGAAGCAGAAATAATATGATCCTGTCTGGAGGTGTTAATACATGTTATATAGCTCCTCAGGCCATACATTTGAAACTGTATTTCTATATATAGACTATATGCTGATTGTGCATCGACTGCCAGACACAGTGGCCTAAAACTTGAGCAAAATCATTAAAAAAATGTATGTATGCTGCATACAGGATTATGGCTGCAGGTGCCACTGCTCATTTATATACCTTTCCACTATTTCCTAGAGTGTTCATAGCTCACTTCAGCTCTGCGGATCGCACAGGCTGACCCAACTTCTCCCCTTCTGGTGTGGGTTGAATATAACTCACACATCACACTAGAGAAAAGTGCATCCACTCACAACAATAGTTTATCAGCTTTTAATGACACATGGAACCCATTTTTAACACATTTAAAGTTGAACCAAACACCTGGGGCTGAGGCCACGCACATTCCCACCAACCTCTAAAAATGTAAGAAGCTACTTTTAGTAGTAGTACTCTTATCATTATTATTGTTGTATGTTTTCTCTCCTTCTCCCTTTCTTTCTTCATAGACTGTATAAGTTAGAAATACCAGTTCACACCCTCACACACTACAATCATGTAAAACACTCTTTGTAATGTCATGTATCTGTTGTCTTATCGTCTATGTTCTGACCTGTTTTGTTAATGTGTTATTTTGTTTCAATAAAAAAAAATATATAGCATATAAATTCGCATTAAGAGTCTATGGAAATCACCCAGTTTCCTGCTCTGTTCAGTTTCAAACCAGAGTTAAGTTTAAGGACCTTATCGTATCATTTAATTTTTAATTATGCTGTTTCAGTCTGCTTTTGCTTTTATAGTTTTCCTTTTTTTTTTTATTCTTGTCTACCAGTGCAAAACAGTCTACAAAGGTCTTGGAAGGTTAAATAACAATGATGGGTGGGAGGCAGTGGGTCAAAACATTTTGTAACGTCATCTCTAAATTAAAAGATATTTTCACCTCCATTGCCTGAAGAAGCAACATATAGCTACACACCCCTGCAGTGCATCAAAGCCTACCTCATGACAGCAGTGCACGGACTGAGCCATCCTCTATGCTGGACAAACTGATCTTAATGTGCAGCCGGCTGTGAGACGAGTGAGTATGGACCATCTCCAGTGTGGAGGATGGTTTGTTTTGATGAAAATTTGGTTGTAGCTTGTTGTCTGCCTACTAACTACAATTGGAAATGGGATTGTATGTGTTTTAACAACATTTCGCTTATGACTTATTGATCCGGGAACTTCAAATCTTTCCAACTTTGATGAAATCTTGGCAGTGTCTGTCATCATCACACCACACCCCTTGGGGCATGCTGTAATTTGTATTCAGGGTAGTAGACTACCATATGGAAAAAAGTGTACACACTGTCAAAAATTTTCCAATACTCATTTATGAAAATTTCTAAATGTTCCCACCCCTACTCCGCACACATTCATACATATATTCTCCTCATATACATATGTTCTTTTCTCACATGCATATATTGTCCTCACACATGCAGATTTTTTATTGCATACATATATTTTTCTTTCACCTATATTTTCACATTGACATTAATATATTCTCTTTTCACATGAAGCTGTAGGCTTGTATTAAAACACTACCCATTTATTAGGTTTGTATTGTTTTTGTTTACCTGTATGTATTATATTTAGGTTACATTTAGTCTCCTTTCTTGTCCTCCACAATGCTTCCTTGTGTTTACACTATTTTGTAAGGAGGGATAAATCCTTAATATTTCTATTCATTTTTTAAAAGGAAAAGCATGTCATATTCATATTTGTCCTATGAAACGGTATGAAACCTTCCTTCTGTCCTGGGATGTACTCTATAAGGGGAACATGTCCCCCCAAAATATGAAAAATTGAAATTTGTACAAGGCTATAATGTTATAAACATATCCATGCAGCCTATATATTCATGTATTGGCCTCAGTCCAAGCACAAAAATTGTGGTTATCATCCAACATTAAGTTCGATTCAGCAGTCATCTACTTGCAATAAATGTTGATTAAATGTGTATTTTGACACAGCTGGAAGCAATCTGATGAATCAAATTTTTTTCAGAAGCTACTTGATCTAAATACTGGAGGTCTTGTTTCGACAATATTAAGTTGATAAGCTTAAAACTGTGATATGATATGAATAACTGGGAGCGTGTGACTTTAGCCAAAATTTTAGAAAAAAGGTAGCTGCAAACCAGCTAACTAATATTCAGAATGCTCTTAACACTCTTGAAAAGTTCTAGTTTGGCTTCCATAAACTGCACTCCACAAAAACCTTTCAGTGTCAAATGACAAATTTCACTAGAAATGTAATTTGAAAAAAAGTTTTGAAGCCTGGCAAAACGTATTTACCCTTTTTAACTTTAGTGTTTGTTATAATATATTTATCATTCAATCCTTATTTCCAAAAATATATTATGCCATTTTACAATGTGGTAAGAGCAAAATATTATACTTAAGTGTGCATTCACTTAAATATATATTAGAAATATTACTATTACAATCTACAATAGATTAAGTGTTTTGATATGAACATCTGCAGATTTAATTTCAGAATTTCCCCTTGGGGGTTAATTAAGTATCTATCCATAAAATCTGCAGCTCACAGATCTTAACTGTATAGTTTAAAACCTGCTTTGCAAACATTCTACTGTTTCAGGTCAGTTCTATGTGCCACTGTCTTAACAGCGGAAGGATATGAAACTCAGCAGACCAGCCTGGACCTCACGGATGCTCTAACCAATCAGCTAATAGATATTCGTCAAAGCTCGTTTCTATTGGTTCAAAGCCCTAGGGACCGAAGAGTTACGACACTGCGGGCTCGAAAATGGTAGTGGTGGGTCACATGTCTGATGTTAGCCATATGGATTAGTAGGGTTTATCACCAAATTTCTAATTCTTCTTCTAACAGAATATACCACAATCAGCTAACAGGGATTCCATGTATCAACCACACCAGAATAAGAGAGAGACAACTTTTCCGCTAACAAAGGCTTTGGTCCCAACCATTGGAAACTAGTATCAGCGTTTTTCTGAGGTAAGAGGCTGAAATCAATTATGATTATGACCTGTATTATATTATAGATTTAGCAGTAACTATAACTGGATATTAACACTGTTTTACAGCATCTGAACTCCTTGCTATCAACAGATAAATAGAATAAAAGACATTACATTAACATATGATAACAGACTTAAGCTTGGCACAGAACTACCAACGCCATCTAGCGTTGTGGCAGTGTAATTGCAGAGTGACAGACCTGGCACAAGGGTAAATACAACTCCGTAGGCTCGACGTAGATTCAACGCAGAACCATAGATCTAACCCTAACCCACATATAGAAATGTCACTTTGATGGATAAACGTTTTATTAGCCTACAGTGACTTATTACAGTAGAGCTTGTGTTGTCTTTTTTCCATCTTAGATAAAAGTAGAGTGAGGAAAGATAAAGTGAATTGGTATCTTCCAGCTTCTGACTGACTGAACACACCTGAGCCAGGTAATCGGCAGCAGGTCAGGCAGGGATAGTTGGAAAACAAGCAGGACAGCGGCCCTCGAGGACTGGAATTGGCCACCCCTACAATCGAATATGGTTTTATTCACTTACGCTTTATTCTACTGTACTCATAAAATCTTTTATATGAGCATTAGGAATATAATAGTTTTTCAAACATTAGGTTGATGGTCTCTGCAAAATGTAGTTTAAAATTGTTGTACCATCAGTGTAGCAGTCTCCTGCAATATAACATTTATTTTATCATATTCAGCAGTGAACCTCCAGACCCCTCCTAGAGTGACAGTGACCCCTGGAACACAGACAACCATGGTGAAATTCAAGAGTCTGATGGGACAAGACCGAGCAAAGAACACAGACCAGGACAGTGATACCATATGCAGTATTGGCACTTCTACATTTTACCCTTTGGTATACCGAGACTTTTTCTTGTGTATGGGCATTTCTCCTAAGCTGTTGGAACTCTTTTCAGCCCTCTCCATGGACTCGTTTGAGATGAACTGCATTTCGAGGCAGCAGTCAAAATGGACAGTTTAAGACCTTTCCACAAGCCTTTACAGTAGCATTTGTATTAATGAGTCAAGGGGTTTAGAATACATATGAGGAGAATATGTGTATATGGTCTCATAGTCATTCCTTGCAGGCTCACATTCAGCAATGTATACAAGGCTAATTAGGTTTGATGGAGGCGGAGGTGAGAAAGTTGACCCCAGTACAGTCAAAATGAAAACTTTACCACAAATTAACTACCTGTTTTCAATGCTTCCCACAACACCAACAGATAAATGGTTCAAATCACTCAATTTTCTAACTTTGCAATTTTACTGGAATAATAAGAAACCCAAAATTGCCCTGTCAACACTCAAGAACAAATCAAAAGGTGGCCTAGAAGTTCCCAATTTTGAGTATTATTTCTTAGCAAATCAATTATATTTAGTTAAATGGATTCAGAAGGATAGTTGTAATAGCTCATGGATAGAACTAGAACAAAATAAAAAAAAAATACTTCAGCTACAGACCTTGCCTTTCTACCATCCTCAATTAAGAAAATGAACAATTTCAAGAATATCACAATCTCTGCAACTCTGACAAACTGGTGGAAAGCAAACAAAACCACCAAATCATCAATAACAGTGTACATACACTCCAATTTGGCATAACCCTGACTTTCAGCTGCATAACAACAACCCCATCCACTTTCCAACATGGCAACACAAAGGAATCACTCACCTTCATCATCTATTTGAAAACAACCAGTTTTTTTTTCCATTTAATACATTAGTCCAGAAGTATGGAGTTGGGAGGGGAGAATTTCTCCAGTACCATCGGTCAAAATCCATAATTAAATCAAAGATCAATACAATCAACAACCCCCCGCAACCTTCCTTGCAAGCTGAGGAGATAATGAAATTTACAGACTCAAAGAAGATAATATCTAAACTTTATAAACTAATGTCAAATACAGATAGAACAACAACAATACCAATGACTAAGTGGGAAAAGGATTTGTCGCTCCCCCCAGCCCCGACTTCTGGACCGAGATCTGTAATATCTTTTCCATGACTACCAACATAAACGTACAGCTTATACAATATAAGACTATTCACAGGACTCACATCACACAAGGTAAAATGTTTCAAATGAGTTTCATTGATACAGATACCTGCTCACAATGCACTCTGGGTTGCACCGATGATTACTTCCATGCTATTTGGACCTGTCAACCTGTTTACTCCCTTTGAGTAGCGGTGACAGAGAAACTCTCCACCACCTTGAGCTGTATATATACAGTCTTATGCAAAAGTTTAGGCACCCCTTGATAAATAACAGATTTTGGTGATTTTTTATTTGAACAGATGTTAACACAGTTTCTCTTGGAAATGGAAAAAATGCACAATATTTTCTGCAAACAGTGATGCATAGTTACTTCTTATGCCATAAATTGAACAAAAATAAAAAATAAAAACATGATTATGGCATGGTGCAAAAGTTTGGGCACCCTAAGAGTTCCAGAGTCTCAAAGTCTCTCACAAGGTATCAGACCTTAATCAGCTCGTTAGATCTGATGCACAGCAACAGCTGTCATTGGTAAATGCCAATTTCAAAGCTGTACAAATACTTTGACTCTTCAAACCTTGTGCACACACTTGTGGACACCCAGCAACCATGGGTTCCTCTAAGCAGCTGTGTAAGACCCTGAAAATGAAAGTTATTGATGCCCACAATGCAGGAGAAGGCTACAAGAAGATAGCAAAGCGTTGTCAGCTTGCAGTTTCCACAGTAAGAAATGTAATTAAGAGATGGCAGATCAGGGGAACTGTGGAGGTCAAGATGAGATCTGGAAGACCAAGAAAACTCTCGGACAGAACTGCTCGTATGCTGGTCAGAAAGACAAATCAAAACCCCCATTTGACTGCAAAAAACCTGCAGGAAGATTTAGCAGACTCAGGAGTGGTGGTGCACCGTTCCACTGTGCAGCGATGCTTGCACAGACAAGGCCTTCATGGAAGAGTCAGCAGAAGAAAACCTTATCTGCGTCCCCATCATAAAATCCAACGTCTGAAGTATGCAACAGGACATCTACAGAAGCCCGATGCGTTTTGGAAACAAGTGCTGTGGACTGATGAAGTTAAAATAGAACTCTTTGGACACAATCAGCAAAGGCATGTTTGGAGAAAAAAAGGAGCAGCATTTCATGAAAAGAACACCTTGCCAACTATTAAGCATGGGGGTGGATCTATCATGCTCTGGGGTTGTGTTGCAGCCAGTGGCACAGGAAACATTGCACGGGTGGAGGGAAGAATGGATTCCACTAAATACCAGCAAATTCTGGAAGCAAACATCACACCATCTGTAAAAAAGCTGAAGCTGAAAAGAGGATGGCTTCTACAACAGGACAATGATCCTAAACATACCTCGAAATCCACTATGGAATACCTCAAGAGACGCAGGCTGAAGGTTTTGGAATGGCCATCACAGTCCCCTGATTTAAACATCATTGAAAATTTGTGGGTAGATCTTAAAAGAGCTGTGCATGCAAGACGACCAAAGAATATTACAGAACTAGAAGCCTTTTGCAAGGAAGAATGGGAGAAGATCCCAAGTACAAGAATTGAAAGACTTTTAGCTGGCTATGAAAAGCGTTTGCAAGCTGTGATATCTGCCAGAGGAGGTGTTACTAAGTACTGATTGTGTAGGGTGCCCAAACTTTTGCACCATGCCATAATAATGTTTTTATTTTTTATTTTTGTTCAATTTATGGCATAAGAAGTAACTATGCATCACTGTTTGCAGAAAATATTGTGCATTTTTTCCATTTCCAAGAGAAACTGTGTTAACATCTGTTCAAATAAAAAATCACCAAAATCTGTTATGTATCAAGGGGTGCCTAAACTTTTGCATAAGACTGTAAACACCAAACGGCAGACAGGCAGTGGACCTTATTCACTAACATGCGCATAGAAATGTTCTTACCTTGTGCACAAAATAAGTGCAGGAGACATTACCATCATATTCATGACACCAGCCAATTTTGTTCTTTCTATTGTGTGTATGTTAGTGTAAATCAGAATCATTCTAAAATGACAGGCGCATTCCAGTGGTTTTCAAGTAGCCTGCTGCCATGCCCCCATTTCTCTATATACTTATAAACTAGAACAGTTTTTTAAATTTAATTTATTTCAATTAAAACTGTGATTAATCAGAATGACAGGGCATTAATTTCATGTTTATTTAATATGCTACATTTGGTCAATGCATTAGTAAATTAATCATTATAGCCTTAAATTATATTAATCAATTATATTAGCTATTAAAACCTTTTTAGGTGTGATGATGGGTCAGGCTGCAGGGGTAGGAATCACTCCTGAGCTGGTCGTGAGTAGATCCGGTAGAACTGAGGAGGTAATGTGGGAGTTCAGTTAAGAGGAGACTGTGCATCGACCTGTGATGGTGGCTGGTGGAGCTGAGGGTGCCAGGATCCAGAGAAGAGGTCCAAAGATACAGACGGGAACTAGGAATAAACAACATATGAAGAACAACTAGAAATAAGCAAAGTACAATCTAAGGAAGGCTGATGACAAAGAAAGAACTAGCAAGGGAGTGATGGTTAAGCCGAGTATAAATAAGGAGTGACAAAGGAGGCGCAGCTGAAGAGTGTCAGGAAAATCAGGGCAGGTGTGTCTAATCAAGAGAATCAGTGTGAGGAAGCAGACTAGGGCGAAAAAGAGAGAAGAGAGGAAGGTGCAGCCGGGCAAACCTGACACTAACCTCTTTTAACTTAAACCAGATACCTGAGGCCGAGGCCACGCGCATTCCCACAAACTTCTAGAACTATAACAAACTGCTTTTTACTTCATTATGGTTACTGTCACTAGTCCTCATGGTCCATGGTTCTGTTTTGAGTATCACACCTATCAAACCAAATTAACTATGAATATCACCTACCCCTCACCTTCTTTTCCCCTCTTCCCTCTCTAATCATTTACCGATCTGTTAATCTCATCTATTTTTGTTTTATGAATGTGGTTACATATATATCTGAGTGTATACATAAGTATGTGAATGGAAAAGTATATAGCATATGATTGATACTGCTTTATTGCTTTTTTCTTCTTTATTTTATTACTATAATCATTAATTTTTTATCAAACTCTCTTTTCATTCCTATACATTTATACCCCCTCCATTTTCCCAATTTATTTGGTTTAATTATATTTTCCCTTAAGTAATGAATATCAGTCTGCATAGAGTTGGATACACACACACTACACACTTTCACACACACAACTTAATACCCTCAATTAATAATCCCTTTGCCTCTTTTGTTAATGTCTGTTGTCTCATGAACTATGTTATGTGCTTTGTGCTGTAAATGTGTTTAGTGTTGCAATAAAAAAAAGAAAGTTGATCCCTGTATCCTTAAAGCAGGCAAAAGAGAGAACAGAAAGCTTATCAGGCTATTGCTTGGACGGCTGCCCAGACTGAGCAAAGGTGATAGCCATGACCACAGGCAAAGGGGGGGTCACCAGCAGAAAAGGAGGTTTTTTGGATGTGTTACGAAACATATGTGATTCTTGTAACCTAAACCTGAAGGAGTCAGCGTGACTTGCAATTGTCATGTAAGTTCATGTTTATTATTTTAGAAACCTATACTGACCTTTGAAATAATAGTATATCCCTTATTAGGTTAGAGAGAGGTGGAATGAAGCAAGCCCCAGGCAAGGAGGAGCTCTAGAGAGTATAAAAGGGATTTTCTGAGCTCTGTAGTCATTCCGTCTCCATAGACCCGAAACAAATGCTGTTGAGGTGTTTTGATTATTTTCCTCAATAAATCTTGTACTTTGCAACAGACTGTTTAGACTTTGAGTGATTTTTTTTTTTTTTGACTGCAGATAGAGAACTGTGTGGGTGAGAACTGGACCCCTTCTGGCCTTGAGAAAAAGTTCAGTGCACAGTGCCACCTGTCTGAACATGTAAGTTTTATATTTAGTTGCATATCAATGACACTGTAAGGATGCATGGATTTTTTTAATGCCTGGTAAATGTTTCTTCCTGTGTGTCTGTTTTGGACTAAATTGTGTGTGTAGTAATAGCTTTGGGAATTTGAGAGAACAAAAATTAGGTTTCATTTTATGTTCTAATAACCATTATATTCTTATTCATCTTCATGTGATTGTACAATGATAACTTTTTATGATATGATTTGCATGGATATTGCATTTAGTATGTAACTTGGTAATGTGCAGTTATATATTTACACAATGATGGTGCAATGTGTGCTTATCAAGTAATGCCAAGATCATTCTGCATTTCAGTTTTTGTATCTGTTGTTCTACGTTAGGAGAATGCCAAAGTTCCAGTGCTCCGCATTTTGTGACACAGCTCTTAGCCCCCACATAGTTGCCATGCAACTCCAAATCAAAAGGAATTAACTCAACCATCATTGGTCTTTCACAGTTGCATTAATAGTGCAAGGAAGAGTCGTGCCCAGCCATGCTTTTCATGCTTTCCCTCGAAAGGAGCACTAAGGATTCTGACTGTGCTTTTCTCCTTTTGTGCTCTGTTCCTCCCACTTGATCTGTGCTTGTGATATTTAAACAAACTAACCGCTTCTGAGATTAGGAAAACTACACGCAAAACACAGTCTTATGAATTTACCGGCACTTAATATGTGTGTGGGTGTGCAGCTTAAACATGGCAGCCACAGCAGTGGCTGATAATGAAAACAGGAGCTGTAACAGTGTCGTACACTGCATAGTAAACACCCATCTCATTAGCCTGCCACAAAGGCTGAGGTAGAGTGACGGGAGATAGGAGAGCTTTCATTTATCTCAGGCAGATGTGGTCTTATTGCGCTGTGTGTTTACAGTTTCATTTACCCAAGCCTGATATACTGGAGCATCACATCACCATGTTGAATTGTGTCTGCTCTCTTTTGGATGCAGGATGTGGCTGACTCTTTTCTACAGCTGTACGGGTGTAGCAGCTCTTCTGTATATTCTGTACAGATGGGTGATCCCAACTGCTGTGCAGCATCACGGAGGACTGGCGCTGATTTGGCATGTTATCATTGTGGAGTGGATAATGGACACACTGACCCAGTCCACCCGTCCTCAGGTGGGTCTTCAATATAAAATTCTCACCTCTCACAGCCCTGACACACTGCTAACAACATTGGTGTGATGTCCTGCTGCAGAGGAGACTGCCTGATCGTAATGGTGAGATTCAGGCTGACAGAAAATAATGAAAATAAATGAAACGAGTGCCCATTTTCACACACAGGTCAAATGTCAATCACACCAAAGTACATGTTTATGTAGCTGCGCACACATGTCTGATGTATATTCTAAAGGTTGTTCAGATTAACATTAATTTATAAATGCTCTAACACAAATTTTACAAGTCCAAGGGTCGACAGCCACGTGAGCTGCTTTATACACACGAGGCAGGTAACAAGCAGAGGTGCATGTAAGCTCATACCCATAAAACAACGGGCAAGCCAACACTAGTACAAATATGTGAATACACCCTTGCTTCCTGAGAAGACCTCCTTCTTTTCTGCATAGTAATTAATTTGGGCTGACGACTCTTCATCTGGCCTTATTTGTTTTTTGACCAAAACCTGTTCCCACAATGTGGATTAGTAAACAAACACTTAACAACCCTACAAAAATGACAGAACTTAATTTTACATTTTAGACTTGGAGTTTTTTATGTAACCTTTATGTTCCAGGGTAACATCCCACTGAGGTTTACAGCCTCCTTCTCATCAGAGCCCTGCTAAGATAGCGACATAACAAGTAACAGACAATAAAACACATAAAACCAGATAACAATATATACTGTAAAACTTTTTATTTTATTTTAATCTTTGTTGTTGTTCACTTTTAAATGACATAGCTACCATGTGTCACTGCAGCAAGACACAACACCAAAAGAAAAAGAATTTTATGCCCTGATTAACCTTATGATAAAGAAATATGTAAAGGTGCAGTGAGATATTTTTCTTTCTTGTGTAATAATAACTAGGCTACTCTTTGCTGTGACAGTGAGCTACATGAGAAGAGTCTGACCACATGTGAATTGTTTGTTTATACTCTTAAGTCAGAAAACTGTAGACATGTTTGTTTTGAGCGCTATGGGGGCAGTTGTGACACCTGATCTTTTTTCAAATGCAAATTCTAAGTTTATCATATCTAGACATATAATACGTCAACAGATGACTCATTCTAGTGTAAATAGTCTCAGAGAAACTGAGCGTAGTGTTGCAACTGTAATTACCTTTACTGCACTGAGTGTGGGTACATTGGGAAAATGTGCATCAAGTTTAATTTAAGTGAACTCTGTGTTGGATTTACTGCTGACAACTTTATTTCAACTAGTCTTCTTTAGGCAATATCCATATGTGTTAGAACATGAAAAAATGTGAAGAGGGGAAGTCAAAAATATCTGCCAAATATTATTTTATGTATGCATTTTAATAGCCTGTTAATGCTAGACAGACCTTACTAAGTGGTTCAGTTTGTTTCCCTCCGTCAGCGGATCCTGAGTGCAGTACAGAAGAACGCCACTAGAGGGGACCCTCGCAGCGTGATCAGAGCCATAGATCAATTCTGCAGCCAGAAGGAGTGGGCCATGAATGTGGGGAATGAGAAAGGTGCTGATCTGTCATTCTCTGACTGTGTGTTTGTGTGTGTCAAATCATTACTTTACTTGATCCAGCTGTATGTTTTGGTACCGTATCTCCTTTCTTTCCCCATGTCTTTGACCGCAGGCTGTATTCTTGACTCAGTGGTGTCTGAGGTAAACCCAGCCACTGTTTTGGAGCTGGGAACCTACTGTGGCTACTCCACGGTGCGCATCGCCAGCCTGCTTCCCCCTTATGCCAAGTTCATCACTCTTGAATTCAACCCAGACTTTGCTGCAGTTGCTCGTCAAGTCATTGCGTGGGCAGGACTAGAGGACAAGGTAAAAAGCCTGATATCTTTACACAAACTGACACTCAACTCAGTTAAACCGTGTGCACGTTTGCGTGTTTCTTTTTTGTAGGTGCAGTTAGTGGAAGGAGCATCTAGTGACTGGATTCCCAAAATAAAGGAACAGTTTGGGATTAAAACCTTTGATTTGGTTTTCCTGGATCACTGGAAGGAACACTACCTTTCTGACACAAAACTGATGGAGGTAAGTTGGTTATACACAATTTATGTTGGTCAAATTCATCTTTTCTGCCATGACACTCACTTAGATTTTTTTTTTTTTTTTAATCAGGAGTGTGGCCTGCTCAGAAAAGGCAGTGTCCTACTAGCGGACAATGTCATCTGCCCTGGAGCTCCTGACTATGTGGAGTATGTGCGTAGCAGCCCTCGATATAAAAGCCACTACTTCAGGTCACACCTGGAGTACACCAAGGCAGAGGATGGCTTGGAGAAATCTGTCTTCTTAGAGTAGATTTTTTTTTTTTTTTTACCAGAAAGTGTCATGTCCTAGCAGACCTCAGACCAGACTTAAAATCAGTGTCTCTTTTCAAGCTTGTTAACTTCAAATTAAAAGTAATACATACCTGTAAAGTGAAAACCAATACTTGAGTTGTGTGCTTTATGGTAACACCATAGCCTACTTGATGCACTCTGTCTGTACTGCTACGTTAGGCTGCAGTAGTGATGCTATGTTCAAGCATCTCATTGACAGATGATGACCTGCAAGCTGATCTGGAGGCTGCTTTTCCCAGCGCATCAACTCAAACCAATAATAAATCTAAACCAGCTGCATTCTGTGGTGCACAAATCAGTTTTCTGCTCTGCTATTTTCCACCATTGTGCCAGGTGTGTGTGTGTGCATGTGAGAGAAAGAGAGAGAAAGTGTGTGTGTCAGTGAGTGATTAAATGCTGCTCATCTAATCTCTGAGTGACAGAGTTCCATCATACTGCAGGGGGAGGGGGTTCTTCATTTGGATGAGCTGTATGAAAAAGGGGCCAATCCACCTAGTGCTTTCTTCACTAGAGCCTGCATGATAATCCCAATCTGTGGCCATTAGTGCACTGAGTGAGCGAGGAGAA